GAGCACCCCCTCTGGTGGGGAAACATTTTTCAGGGATACAAACTTTTTCAGAACACCGGTAGACGGCAGCCATTACAGACGGACATGTGTTTGTTGTTGTTCAAGGAGCGGCTCGGTCACACACTAATGTCATTAGTTTGTTATCATTACTAAGGTGCAGGAATACTCCCCCGCCCCCTTTTCACATCATGTCGCCTGCTTGGATCTGTTATTATCATGCTCTGAAGAACGGAGTGTCAGAGGTAAACTCGTTTCAACTGTTTTTTATGACTTGGTCTCATTTCCGGACTCAGGCATTTTGAGAATGAAGCCGATATTTGAGTTAAAATACATAAGTAAAAATATTTATCCGAATATAGTACTACCCCACCCCCAACTTTATGAATGATTTTATGGATTTTATTTTACGTATTATACTTGAATAAATACGGTAATTTATTTGATCATCAGTGCGTCAATCATAGAGAACAGAGCTACGCAGAAAGAGGAAGATGTCAGGAAAATGGATATGCAAATAAAATGTCTTTAGCTCAAAAATGTCATCACTGTGTAAAAGGAAGTGATACTAAAATCTTATCTCTTCAGTTTCACATGCTTGCTTGGTTTGTCACTGATTTCAGGACCAAACATCTGTGTTGCAGCCTCAGAGTCAGGACACGTCTGTGCAGCAACACGTTGTTCAGCCGAGAAAACTGCCACAAACAAAATATGTCAAAATGTAGAGGTTTCATTTGAGCTAATCTTGTGTTTTATCACATCAGAGTTTTTATTTACCAAAAATAAAAATAAAAGCACTATAAAAAGAGGCCAGTATGACCAACCATTAGACTGATTTTTAGTTGGATTTTTTCCCATTTTGTCTGTGCTCTGTCTCCTTTTACAGCTGATGAGGTCCTATTTAAAACTATTTAACAGAACATCCTTTCAAAAATGACTAAACTATTGTAAAAACATATTTTTGATAGCTAGCTTTGAGAAATATACAACTGATCCATGTGGTCCCATGTTGGAATATTTTCATAACTACTTTTTGGAGGTGTAAACACTGGTGTAAGGTAAAGGTAAGGATCAGGGGTAAAAATATTAAACTTGATGATAGTTTTTTTTATATTTCTGTTGTTGTTTGTCATGATTTTCTCAGACATACAGCTATCTCAGTTTTCAGTATTTAAAACAACACAATTTAAAAAATAATGGAAAAAATGTCAAACTATAGCCTCAAACTAAACAAAAAGAAAAAAAATTGTACAGGTCTTCTGGACGGGTTCTTCTCTAATGAAACGTTTCGTCTCTCCTCCAAGAGACTTCTTCAGTCTGAGAGTTTCAGGCAAAATTCAGGCTTTTAAGCCCTGCTTCCATGTGACTGATATTCACATCACATGGCTATCGTTGACACCCATCCATCCATCCATTTTCTGTACACGCTTCTTCCTTTTTCAGGGTTGCGTGGGTCACTGGTGCCC